AAAGTCACGTGATTGATAGTAAGCAATACCAACGGTAAAGTAAACAATGCACAACTTTAACAATGCAAACACTTTCAGATTCCACGGACCTTCATTGCAACACATGAATATTTTGCACAAATCGAGGCTAGCCCCGAGCAGCAAGGAACTCGAAACTGTAGTATTGCGTTCAAAGATTACTCATTCATTGCTATTTTTTTAGTGGCTCGTCCATTGAATTGTCTAATGCAAATCCCCCTCTCAACTATGCTACAATYAATTAATTAACCTTACTTATCAATAGAAAAAATATTTATCTTGAATAAATAATGGTAATTGAACTGAGTGGAGTGCAATTTGGTGAAATCAAACGAGTGATTACGAAATTATGACCGCTACGGAGTGCAATTTATTAATCACAAGTTTGATTTCAGACCAAATTTGCACGACAATTATATTCATTTTGAAATCTCCTGCAATGATAATACATTTAAGATTAAAGTTTACTAAGACTTAGTCAAAAAAACCGTCTCTCTGTTTTAATGCCTTTTTCTCACTTTCCTTTTTTGATATCTGATTGGTCAAATTCTATTATTCTCCAATTTCATTGCCTAATCAAAAGAGTGCGATTTAAAACTCAAAATGGTGCGATTCGTGATTAAATCGCACTGTTGGGAGCCAATGAGATTGTAGAAATCAACAGTGATTTTTAAATGGATGTAATTAAACATGATAATGAAACCTATAACTAACTACGTCAGGATTAATCAAAGTACTAATTCCTTTTTTTTTTTAAATTCCCGGCTTAAAAGCTGTACCTAAGCTTTGATGTATCTGTTAGACTTTCTTTAGGGATTAGGGATTCGAAGGATTTATTGTGATGCACTATCATTTTATGACCGCGGTTTTACTTTTTAACCTGAACAATATGAGTGGCTTATAGGTAAGGGAACAGAATATATCATGCTTATTCTCGTCATCTTGATACAATTGCCTTACCTGCTCTGCACTGTGTCTCTAAATGCATTATTAGCACCAACATTGACAAGCGAATGAAACCTTTGGCCATCATCTCAAAATGTAGCTGGTCGTCAGTACGAGTCGATGTCTTTTCCGACCACGTTCTCTGCGTCAAGTGCAAGGATGAAAAATACTGATTGGAAAAAAATAATCTAACAAAAGAAGAATCCTTTAGATACTACACTACTTTACACTACTTTAGAGCGCTCGAACACTAAAACAACCTAAAAGATTTAGATAGCTGGTTGTATACGCAGTGGAAACTGAAATGTGAAATGGGAGTGGAACACCTAACGGGGTGGACCGTTGGAAACCACAAGTTACTGATCTTCCCCTTTTCAATTCACGCAGCAGTCATTGGCAGAAACGAGGGGAAGTTGGGTTCTATCATTGTCAAGGGGGAAAAGACAATATCGTACCCAGAGYCCWCCATCACCTTCCTGTCGCCCACAAGCCCGCTGACCAAAAAGCCGGAAGGCTCTGGGCTCGAGATTGAGGAAAAGAATGAATGAAAGATTAAAGGAAATAGAGACAGGTGTGTTTTAAGAAAGAAA